GATGGTGGCCAAAAAATGTTGCATCTTGCCACAGATTCTAGGTGCTATGTGGCTAAACGAAATAAGAAAAATTAGTGTGGGAAAGTGCCACAAATTATGTTGCAGTTAACTACATGACCGATGGACAAAACCACGTGTCCCCATTGCAGCGTTACCGAACCTAATCGAAACGAACGTGACCTAACCTAACCTTACTTAACCTAACATAATTTAGCCTAACCTAAGCTAAGCTAACCTTACCTAACCTAACATAACCTAACCTAGTTAGGTTACATCTGAAGTACTTCAGATGTGAGAACCGAGGTTTTTCGGATGTGAAAACCGAAGTACTTCAGATGTAAGGACTGAAGTTTCAGATGTGTGATCCGAACCTCGACAGCTAGACCTAAAGTGTTCAGATATGCTCAATCTGAAAACTTCAGAGTTCCATATGACCTAAACTTCGGGTCCCACGCACGAGGTTTTTTCTTCGTGTAGGATCGCTCCATACTCCCTATATGTTTGCTTTATCTATATTTTTGCCTATCAATTTCACCAATCAGCCCGCAGATCTGAGAGCGACACATCATTGGCAGCATAGAGCGGAGCATTGCGAGTTCACGCGTCGCGCCATAGCGCCTTCAATTCTGCAGCATGCAACACGGGCATCCATCAAGTACGAATAAATGTATCTCTGCGCCGTCATCAACGCGTATCCTTTCACTTGCTCTATTTCCATCGTGTGTTTGTTTCCTTCTGTATTTTCTGTACTGGTGCTTTCAGGCTACGTGAGCAATACCGTCACAGATAGGAGAGTCGCAATTTGGTCTCGTTTATTAATTATATTTCCAAATTGGAGGGATATCTCACTAGCAGCATAGAGCGGAGCATAGCGAATTCATGCCTCGCGCCATCGCGCCTTCAATTCTGCAGCTGCAACACGGACACCCATCAAGTACGAATAGTTGTATCGCTGCGCCGTCATCAACACGCTTCCTCTCCTTTGCTCTATTCCCATATTATATTTGTTTCCGAGGCGTTAGGAGGGAAAACGGCAGATTCCAGATACGGTCATTTTTCAGGAGAAGATTTTCTGAGAATATACAAAAGCTGAATAGTATGTGTACAACATTTGTAATTATTTTTGCATTTTTCGCCACATTAAATTCTTTCTAATTCAATTTTTTTTTACACCTAGTAAATGTAGTTAAGTAAATTTTCAGTCCAGAGAGTCAATTACTGGAAAGAGAGTAGTAATAATCTTTTCAAAATGCAACCTGCGTTCGTGTAACGGGTCGTTCTATCGAAGAACGGCCAAAGTACACCTTCCGCATTTCTAATATTTCTTTCTACATAAAGTGTTTGAAATTATGTAATAAGTAGATTTAGGTAAAAAAAATCGGACGTTAAGGTTCGTTTTTCAAACTTCAGATTCCGGATTTTGCTGGGATATCGACGCCATATTATACCGACCTACGTCACGGGGTAAGCAATAACACATCCTTCCTTTCTCTATGCATTTCCCTTTGGCAGAGATACGTCCATATTATCAATAAGGACATTTTTTCTAGAGTCCCTTTATACCCAGAGCTAAGACAACTCGATTATTAGCTGACTGGCAGCCGGCCTTGGCTGGCCATGGAGGCACAAACGAGTGCACCCAAACGAACGATATTAAGGGATAAGAATAAGGAATCCTACGATGTCTGTCATCCAAAAACAACGACATCAACAAATTGATCAATTAAAAAGAAAATGAGATTGGTTTGTGAATAATTTCTTAATCTATTTTCATTTTGGGCTGATGGTAATAACAATTCACTTTTGATAAACCACAATTAGGTAATATTTTCATTATTTTTGTTCACAATCGAGTCATCGCCATCTTGGTGAACTCGTTTGTGACTCCACGAACGAGAACCAATCAGAATTGGATTTTTTTTTAGGCCACTTTCAGCCCAACCACAGGTGAGTTGTCGTAACTCTGGGTATGAAGGGACTCTACACTGAAAAAAAATTCTCGGCGTTTTTACCAAGGTTTGTTGGTACCTTTACCATCTCACTTTTTTTTACCAATTATTGGTAATTTTACCAAGACAGACTGGTAAGCTTACCTAAAAACCGGTATTTTTACTGTTTTTTACAGGTAGGAATACCAATTTTATTGGTAATCAATTCCCGGTGACTTTGCCATTTTATCCCGGTAATTTTACCACAGTCGATAAAAAAGATTGGCATTTTTACCAAGGTCCAGTAAAATCACGAAGAAAGTTCAACAATTTTACCGAGATTTCTCGGTAAAATTACCAATTCCATAAATGGTGATTTTACCAAGAAAAAACTCGGATCAAATAGAACCCTGTATTCTCAGTAATTTTACCCTTTTCTTGGTAAACACACCGAGATTTTTTTTTCAGTGTATTTTTTTCAAGAGTCAAAGAGTTCAATTTCGAAGACGGAGGTGGGAGATACTAACCTGCAGGTACGATTTGGAAGACACAAGGATCAATTGGACGAAGTTAAACAGAGAGGAACCAAGCCACATCGGGATCGAACCGAGAAAAAGAGACAAAGTTTAGCTCCTGCATAAGACCCAACGTAAAAGTTAAACTTCAAGTTCAATTTCTGCAAAATTTGCTCCGACAAAAACTTTGAATTTTCGGCGATAGATAGTAGAGCAGTGGTTGAGTTCAAAACCACTCATAACTCAATTTTTTCCAAAATGTGGGTTGGTTCCTTTCTGCTTAACTCGGTCCAATTTGTTTGCCTACATCCTTTTAAATAAGATCATTTTTTCAAGAGTCAAAGAGTTCAATTTCGAAGACGGAGGTGGGAGATACTGACCTGCAGGTACGATTTGGAAGACACAAGGATCAATTTGTTTGCCTATGACGTTGATGCCGCGGCAGGTGAGGGTGCCGTAGTCCCGCTCGGAGGAGGGGCGGTAGAGGAGCTCGTTGGAGCTCCCGTTCTCCGGGCGGAACTGCCCGGCGGCCACCGCCCAGGCCTCGCCGCTGTTGCGGAAGAACCACTCGAACGAGACCTCTGGCGGGTCCGCCATCACCACGCACCGCACGTGGATCGACTCGTGCAGCGACGCCCCGATGATCGTCGGCGTCTCTTGCGAGCACACCGGAGCGACTGAAACACACAAAAAAACACACTCGTCAAAGCATTGTTCAACACACGAAAAAAGGAGTGAAATTCGTGTCCTGAAGCGCGAGTCCCACCAGCGGGGCGATTATTGAAACTGATGGACAAAGCTATATACAAACACGGAAAAAACAAGACTAGTGTTGAGCACTACTGGCCGTTTAGTGGGGAGTAGTTGAGGGCTGGCGTCTAAGCGCTGTACAGCTCAACATCGGAAGGCAGTACAGGTGGGCACTGAGCATCAGTAGTGCCAATCAGATGCCGCGAGACGCAGTTGCGCTTAACAGGTGTAAATTCACTCAAGTGGTGTCTTAGTCACCATAGCCTGGTGGTAAAGCGCTGGTCTTCCGCCGGCACGGTCCGAGTTCGATCCCAGGCGGAGGCGCTTCATATTTTACGCTCGCTCCAAAGTCACTTTAGGGCTTGACACTACTTCTTCCTTAGTGACCCAGCCTCGAGCTGTTTAGTGCCCAGCACTACTCTGACTTGGTGACTCCATTTGACCTAACCCTCGTTAGTGTCCAGCACTAACATGTAGGTCCCAACCCTAAACTCGTTTTTTCCGTGAAGAAGACATAGGGAGTATGGAGCGACCTTATTGGTTGACATGGATGGTTCTTATAGACTAAGGAAGAAAATTATGATGGACTAACTGTCGGGTCTTTAGTGGGTTGCCGTTAGTTAGTCCATTACCTACCTCCTATGTCCATTGCCACCACCTGCTTCCACCAATAGGATCCCTCCAAATCCCTTTTGTCGTCTATGTCTATAGCTTTGTCTATCAGTTTCGATAATCGGCCCGCAGAGGCAAAGAGAGACCCTCCATTGCTGTCTTGGCAGCTTTTACTGGAGGGAATCCAACACTCAACGGAATGACCTACCTGAGCGGAGACTAGTGTAAAATTTTTTCAAATCGCCGTGGTTTATCACCCAACAGCTCGCCTTCAAAAATCTGACAAGCAATTTGAGCGACTTGGTTGCAGTAATAGTTATTTCGTTCCTTTTTGATAAACTTAGAATTAGTCGGTACGAAGACAGAAATCAAGAAAGGACTACTTCCTACAGTGCTAAGAAAATTCGCATCGTTAACACTTGGACCTGGATCAGCTCTAGGTCAAATTGTTGAAGAAGGCGGCGTGAACATTTAGTAAAAGTTTGACGGCAAGGAGAGGAGGAGGAGATCAGAAGGTATCATTCGCCCGATGATTTATAGGAGAATCGGTTTCAGTGGCGATTGGAAGTCGCAAAGCGCTCTAGTTCGCCGGGATATCGGCGTGAAATGTAAATGTATACACGAAGCAACTATTACTGCTCCCAAGCCGCTGAAATGGCCTAATCAGGTTTTTGAAGGCGAACTGTTGGCTGTTAGAAACCGGCGTCGTGCGTGAGAATACGTTACGTTGCTTGGTCACCAGCCAAATAGATGGCAAAAATATTGGGTACTTTACGGTACGCATCAGGATGTATTTTCTGTCCCCGAGAGCGGAAAACCGCGAAGAGAACCCGTTTTCCGTGCGAAAAAGGGGTCAAAGAGACGCGGCCGCCACAAATCTCGAGGATGTGAGGAAGGCCAGCCCCCGCTCGACGCGTTGGCGGAGGAAATAAGACATTAAGCACTGGAAGTGGAGGAATACGGAAGGCGGTCGTTCAACCACTAATCCTTCTCGCTCCTATCTTTGGACGATTTAGCGGGCACCCGTATCGGCGCCGCCGCGCCGGAATACTTCCGTGCTCAAGAAAAACCCCGCAAGAGCCTTCCGACGTTGCCAAATTTCTGTCACTAAAAACCGAATTTATTCGAAAATTTGTGAATATTTTCTTCCAAATTTTTTGGATAATTTAGTTCGCAACTTGATCTAAAATATCTGAAGATTTCAGGGAAAAAATACACTGAAAAACAATTCTCGGCGTTTTTACCAAGGTTCGTTGGTACCTTTACCATCTCACTTTTTTTACCAATTATTGGTAATTTTACCAAGACAGGCTGGTAAGCTTACTTAAAAACCGGTATTTTTACTGTTTTTTTCAGGTAAGAATACCACTTTCATTGGTAATCAATTCCCGGTGACTTTGCCATTTTATCTTGGTAATTCTACCACAGTCGATAAAAAATATTGGCGTTTTTACCAAGATCCAGTAAAATTACCGAGAAAGTCAATAATTTCACCGAAATTTCTCAGTAGAATTACCAATTCCATAAATGGTGATTTTACTAAGAAAAATCTGGGATCAAATAGAACCCTGAATTCTTGGTAATTTTATCCTTTTCTTAGTAAATACACCGAGATGTTTTTTTTCAGTGTATGCATGGATGTCGTCAAAAATCCATGTTTTATCCGGAGAAATTTGGCAACTCTGGAGTGTTCATACGACGTTTTGCTTTAGCGCGGCAGAATAGGGAATCGCACGCTCGTCCGGGGGGTTGAAGTAGCCTAATTTAAATTCATGAATACATTCTGCATATCTGGGCTCAACTCGGCGGTTCGCAATTTATCTTGCCCGGGCAAAAGTCGCCAACCTGTTCTTAAAATTGCACCGCTGGCGTTTTTATCTCGGCATCTCCCCGCTTAATGGAAGTGCCACTTTTCTCCGCCCGCCTACCGTTGGCGCCTCCTCTCCGCCCACGTATCCCGATCTTATCAAAGCCGAGTCGTTCCCACGCGAGATTGACACTGGGCCAAGAGCTTCCCGAAAATTATTTCTCATGGGGTTCCTTCCTGAATTATGTAGTCTCAAGGGCTGGGGAAGGTGTCGACCAGAGTGTCATCATACACATTTTTATCTGAATTTATCAACATTTAAGAAAACAAGACACTGATGAAGGGGTGACGGGAATACGGGATACATAGACACACCGTCCGTTTCGGGCTCAGAGGCCAAAAGTTTCGGGTGCTGGAGCCGTGGCTTCGATTACTCCGGGTGTTACGCTCGGAACTTTCGGTTTCTGAGCCCGAAACGCGGCTCCAGGGCCGGAGTTTTTTTTCAGTGGAGGAAATTTTACAACGCTGTGTAGTTAAAAGTACCTTAACTTAAGGATGTGATGTGGCAGCTGAAGAAACGGACACAGAAAATAGAAAGAGCGAAATGGATGAATGAAAAGATAGATTATTCCTGGAGGAGTTTGGCAGGAATTTCTGTAAGATGTCCCTAATGATAGATTGCTTTAGGACATCAGGGAGGCTATCAGGGGGATTGCTTTAGGAAGGAGGTCGAAAATGACATCATATTTGACACCATGTTTGGTGAGCTTGTCCGTTATGCATGGTCATGTAAACAGGATGACGAGAGAGAGGCTGCAAAAGAAGATGCTTGATTGGGTTCGATGCTTGGCTGGGAGAAGCTGGGCAGGCCCGCCACATCCCATCTCGGGCCCTGGTACCAATTTTCTGGCCCGGGCCCCTAGCACGGGGGGGGGGTCCGGGGGGCCTCTCCCGGGAAATTTTTGAAATTTTAAGTCTACTTGGACGCATTATGAAGCTCTTATGATGGAGATTTTCCATCAATTTCTGCAGAATAATTACGCCTTTTTGTTTACTTTCAAGACAAAAAACTTTCGAATTGTTGCATTCAAAACGTCTATAAATTTTGTTTTGAGGGGGCAGATGATAATTTTCAATTCTATGGGGAGCCGGGCCCCCCTGAACTCCCCTTTCGTACGTCTATGGCAAGGGAGTTAAGCCATTGAAGTCGAGGATGCCCAGAAAGGAGCCTCTTAGCATGCGACAACGGAAGAAAATGAAACACAGTTACTGAAAATATCATTCTACATATACTCAAAATCTTGAAAATTTCTAAAAAAGTAAGAAAAATTTTATAGTGCCCTAGCGTGTTTTTGAAACTTTATTCACCTTTTGCGGAATTTTTAGGGTAATTTTTTCACTTTTCCCTACGAGACAAGGGTTACATATGAATTCGTAGTGGTTTGTCACCTGCGTCACAGGCCCCTGCGGGGCCCGGGCCCCGGTACCAAGGACCCAGTATCCCCCCCCCTTGTGGCGGGCCTGGTGACGGGTTTCACTAATTGATTGAATCTGATCGAAAAAACCGAATTTTATCGGGAGCACAAACAAAATTCAGTGAAATTTTCGAACAGCTTCGTTAAACAATTTCTCTGTAAAGAATGAATTGGCGGCTAATATGTTGAAACGTCACATGGCGCTTGTGATACTTTGGCCAGAAGGTTGTAAGTATATCACAAAGCATGCCACGCTACTTTCTTCAAGGTGCAGAAGAGGGCGCTTTTACCACACCCTAACAGTACACTGGAAAAAAAAACACATCGGACCTAGAGTCCAGACTCTTGAAAACATTGACAAGAAAAATTACTCTTGATTCAATCAGATTTAAGCTTAAATCAAAAGGAAATCCGCTCAAATTAAGCGGCTTGGTTCTTGATTTAAGCAAAAGTCCGATTGAATCAAGATTACTTTTTCTCGTCGATGTTTTTAAGAGTCTGGACTCTAGATCCAATGTGTTTTTATTCCAGCGTAAGCTTTCACGCGCCTCATTCACAGAAATGTGAAAACGTGCTCATAGCTAGCCCACGCGTTGTAGTCCGCGCTAGTCCCATCCTCATCGTGGGGATGATTTGCATTTGAAATCTCGGGCACGGCCGCCGTGATGTTGCGTTCAACCGTTCTGAAGGGGCCATAAAGTAGCGAGGAGGATCCGGCGCTCTAGTTAGCCGAAGCAATCACGTGATTTGGCTGCTGCGCTTCCGGCGCCGGGCGGAAATTGAAATTAAAATCGTTCAAGGACCCGGAAACGGAAACGGCGAGGTTTCCCGAAAGTCTGAGCAGGCGAGTGTATTACACGGGCCGAAGGGTGGGGGCCGAGGCGGGGCGGGGCGGGGCTACAGGGCTTGAATGCCGAGATAACAAGTTGAATAAACAGAAAGAGTACGCCGCGTTCGGAAGTAAAACGCAACTATTTGCCATTTGCTGCTGCTCTGATAAGTTCGGCTGGACCAGCGTCGCTGCCAGAGTGAG